TAATTTATACATTTTTGCTATTAAGTGCTCCTCTGTTTCACATAGCTGAATTTCAAATTCCGATTTATTCTGTTCAAATCCAAATTCTTTTTTATATTCATTCATTCATTCATTCATTCATTCATTCATTCATTCATTCATTCATTCTTATTTACTTACTTACTTGCTTGCTTGCTTATTTGGACTAGGTTGAGGACAGATCCTTCTGAAGAAAATCTATCTCTGTGGTTGCTGAAAGTCGCCATTGACTTGATGGCACTTTCTGTTTCTCTCCCTCTCTCTCTCCCTCTCTCTCTCTCAAGTTTGTGTGTGTGTTTGTGCGTGCATGTGTAATTAACACTTTCCTCTTGGATTCAAAGCAAACTGTTATGCATATCTTTTATGCTTTAAATATATATATAATTTGTATGTGTGTGCATAGATAATTAAGTTTTGATGCTTTAAAAATTAGTAGAGTGCAAAGCCTTTCAAATTTGAAACATTTTTCATACTGTATATTAAAAATTCTGTAATTATTATTATCACTTTAAAAGTCTATGAAAAAGATCTAGTAAAATCATTTCATGTAATTTGTTTTGAAAAAGAAGTGAACTAAAATACTTTGAGCATCATAGCCAAACAGCTGCGATTTCATTCTATGTTAGAAAGAACCACACTGTGACTGTACTTGGTGGATTTTTTGGCAAAGTATCTTACTTCAGATACCAAAACTGTGAATAGGAAAGAAACTGTTAAATCCTTCATGAAGATACCATATGGTATATTGATTTGAAAAGGAATATATGTATAATTCTTAAACTAGAAAAATAAAATTAGAGGTTTAAGAACTATGAAATCAGGCATTATACCATGCAGTAGGTTTTTATTCTGTGGTGTACAATAGACCAGATCAAAAATGCAAAAAATAAAATTCATTTCCTAGTTTGCTTTGACCAAATTATATATGACATGAAATAGTCATTGTCAAATAGCTCACTCATAATAATAATGATGATGATGATGCAAATACATGGTGGTGGTTCTGGAATGAATAAGACTACTTTTAAATTCCAAAACAAAACTTTTGCTAATCACATATGCCAGTGTAATCTTCAGATCAGTTCTAAAACACATACCATATATTTTAGTGTAAATTGTGACATACTGTGGCTATCTGTATTATTCTTTGCTCATATCCAATGAAAAGTATATGGCTAATGATTATCTGTATTCATGAATCTGTGTGAGATATCTAGAAGGCTCATTCCCCTCAAAATGAAAATTCTTTTTTTTCTACTTAAGACATTGAATCCTCTAAGATTAGCTACATCAGTTTATCCAATAGAATTGTAGAAAGATTCAAAGGAATGGAGAAATACCTCACTCATAATAATAATGATGATAAATGAAAAACAATCTTTTACAATCACATTTCTTTACTAAGATTCCTAAATTAAGTCTGCAGACCTGATAATTTCTAAGTGAGCAGTATTACTCATCATTCTCCTTATTTCTTCTACTTTGTAGATTCACACATCCTTGATCAATGGGCGACCAAGTGCAGATGATCCTTCTCCGACACTGCTAGAGTTTACATCAGCTCGTTATATTCGCTTAAGATTTCAGAGGATACGGACACTAAATGCCGATTTAATGATGCTTGCACACAGAGATCCCAGTGAAATTGACCCAATAGTCACAAGGAGAGTAAGTCCTGGCAAAGATACTAGAATGTGCATTTGTAGTACGTTTTGTGCCTCTGTTACAATGCCTAGAATCCAAAAGGATTATGCTATTTCAGAATTATGAAACATCTGTTTTTCTTCTTTCTCAAATAGCAGTTTTTCTATGATGTGCCTATTTAGACCAAAAAGAAAAAGAAAAGCAGGATGGGTGCATGCAAACTTGAGGCTGAAGTATATCTTTGGAGTTTTTTCCATATTTCCCTTCTTATGTGCATAGGAAAGTCAGGAACATAGGCATCAGTTCACATGATGAACAATTCATTCTGAGAATCTATTCCATTTTATTTCTAAACCATATAGCACCACTCTTTGTAAACTATTGCTCAGTTACAAACATTTACACCAATGTGCCATCCTGATGATAGATCATTAGGATTGGGACTAGTCTGGGGAAAGCAATGTTGGAGGAGAAGAGAAACACTGCTGTTCTCCTCCAAGATCAACACATAAAAGCCTGCCTGTGGGCAGCTTAAGAATACAGTTGATTATATATTTTCTACTATAGAAGTTTCTTATTGATATACCTTTTGTGGGAAATTATCTACCCTTGAAGGTCAGAAGGTACAACTGGTCCAATGTGCTGCTCCATGAGTAGTTATGGGAGCTTCTCGCTTTACCCATGTAACACTATTGTTTTGTCTGTTGCATTGGCTACTGATGGACCTCTGGATGCAATTCAGGATGTTGGTTGTGATCTGTAAAGCCCAAAGGATTGAGGTCTGGTTATCTATGGGACAATCTTTCTCCTGTTGTTTCTGCCCAACCTTTATCTGGAAGAATCGGTGTGCTCCAGGTCACAGTTGTAAAGCACTGTCACATTGTGGGGCATAAAAGGCCTGCCTACTTGATATGGCATCTGCCATATAGAACAGTGTGTCCTCTAAGATTCTTATCATCCTGACCCCGCTGAGATTTCACAAAGCTGTAAAAAATGGGCTCTTTTGTCAAGGCCTGGGATAGGATGGAGGGATTTCCCCCCAATCATAGTCTGGTCAGGAATACACTTGTGTTATTCTCCTTCCTGATATGTGAGATGTCCTCTTTTGGTCTTGTATGTTTCTTTTAGCTGTTACTGACCTACTATTTTAAATCTATAGTATAAGCTGCCTAGAGTCACTCTGTGATTGAGAGGAATACAAATTGGCAAATAAGTAAATTTAGTTGTAAAAAATAATTCTTTCATAAAATTACCAATTACCAATAAACATACTGATGTTTTATTGCAATCAGACAAGGTAAATCCAATGTTTTATACGACTATTTCTAGAAAGAGCTTTTTAAAAATATATTTTTGTGTATTTGATTTTTATGGATCAAAACTGCAATGTTTTCTAAAGTATTGTCATACCTTGAAACAATTCAAATATTTTAATAAAATAATTTTCAAGGAAAGGTTATCATTTCTTTATATGTAATATATAAAATACACAAATTATACTTCATTTAATTTTGAAGTATTTTAATAAATAATGTTTATGTTTGAAAAATCTTTAAGTACATTTGCAAGAAGAAATGGATGTAAAATCCCCTTATCCCCTGCTTTTTTGATTTGATAGCTTCTCTGTTCCTATCCTATCACTATAGTATTGTCCCTTGCACAACTATGTTCCATTATATACAGACTACTGTGATATTTTCCAGAATATTGTATTAACGTAATATATTAATATAATATATTAATAATATATTTATATTAATAAAGCCAGTTTGGTCTAGTGGCTAAGGTGCTGGCCTAGAAACCAGGAGACTGTGAGTTCTCGTCCTGCCTTAGGTATGAAAAACTGGCTGGGTGACTTTGGGCCAGTCACTCTCTTTCAGCCCAACTGACCTCACACGGTTGTTGTTGTGGGGAAAATGGGAGGAGGAAGGGGAATTTAGTATGTTCACCACCTTGACTTATTTATAGAAATAATAAAGGTGGGATAAAAAAAAATCTAATATGTGCTGGTATACATGGATTAAAATTAAATACATTATCTGAAATAGCACATAAGTGTCTTTAACTTTGTGTCATTCAATTTCTGCCCTGTACCTTTTTATTTTATGTAACATCAAATCTTCTTTTGGTAGTTCATTGGTTTCCAGATCTCTTCAAGGTTTTTGCTTTCCTTGTTGCTTTCCATTGTGCAATAGAACAACAAAAATGTAGAACATAAATCTTTGTTTATATTTTTTCTTTAATGGTCATCAGCACAAACCATGATAACAGCAGAGTTGATATTTGACATCATTAGGGCTGTTAATATAGCTCAGCCCCTCAAAATGTCAGATGGTTTTGTTTTCTTTGATATTTCCATGAATTATCCTTTGGTTCCTTCTCTATGCAGCATTGCAACAACAGTATTCATACCGAAATTTAAGTTGGAGATTAGATTTTACAAACAAAATTAAGTTAACAAAATTAATACGTTCCTTATTACATCAATATATACTGTAGCTCTTAATTCTGTATATGCCTTCAGTTGAAAATTGTTGGTGCTTTTGACTTGCAGTTCCTTCATGGAATTTCACTAGAGGTCCAGCTGCATCATTCTCCATTTATAATCATCGCATGCTTTCTGTCACTTCTTCTGTCTGTTCGTTTCAACAAAAGGAGGAAAGTATTGAATAACTGCACAATTTGTTTTAACTGATAGCACAAGAATCTTCCATCTGGACTCACCCCTGGCTGAATGTTTCTAATGGCCACAAAGAAATTTTTGACAAGCCTAGATGTTCACTTCTAATCCCAATGCCAAAATGGCAAGACAAGTGGTTGAGAAAGATTTTGTGCAAGTACATAAGGGATGGCATTTATGTCATGGTACATATTTGATTACCTGTCCCCCTTCTCCCCACATGGACAATTGTAGTAACAAGTGATACATGACAGTACTTTTATACAAGGCTTTAAAAATAATATCTTTTCGCTTTTTCTTTTGTTAAGATTGGCATATTTTAAAGGTGGCAAATAATTGAAGTGCTGTCTTGAATGCCTTTATGGAAAGCTGGAAAAATGTACCCATGCTGTTTAGAAAGCAGTAATAATTGCTTCAGATGACCCTTCCAGAAATATGACTCTACGAATGAACTGGAGGTCATGAATGCTCTACTCTCAGGTCATCTAAATATATGCATTATTGATCTCTGATGACCATTTATACTGTAGAGGATCATAAGGTGTGGCTTCCGTGCAAGAAAATGATGCAAGAAATGCAAGTAAATACTTTAATAGTCACAGGAAGTTTTATGTTATCCAGTGAATTAGTGAAATTTAGTGAAACAACTATTGCATGAGGAAGGTTTCACTTTCAAACACACTTTTAAGTAAGCTTGCCTCTTTGATGATGGCTTGGATTCTGGATGTCCATTCTATGTAAAGAAGGGTTCCTTCACGTTGTAGGAGGTACAAAGAGGGGGTTTTCAATTGAGACGTTCACTGGAAGAAGGAGAGGTGATATTTACTGATTTTCCCTTACTTCTGAAGCTCACTGAATCATCTCCAATGTCCTGAATGACTGGATCCATTTTTTTGCATAAAAGCGTATCGAGGAAAACACAGTTGGGGAAAATTTCTCCCTTGTCCACAGTACTTCAGCATAATTTATGCCAGCACGGCCTTGTTTGGGATTTAGGAAAACCCCTCTAGGAATGCAGAAGGACTACAGTTCTTTTATCCAAAGACCTAGAACCTTACTACCAAACTATTGTTCATAGTAATCCAATACTGTTCAGTATAAATTAATTTATTTCTTGACTTTTGTGAAGCAAAGCATTTGCCCCCACCTTTTTTTAAGCTTTTGATTATGGAACCAAAATGATACTTTCTTGTGTTCAGTTTGCAACATAATAACAGCATGTATCTTTCTAATTTCATTTTCAGTACTATTATTCTGTGAAAGATATCTCAGCGGGAGGAATGTGCATCTGTTATGGCCATGCAAAAGCATGTCCATTGAATCCAGCCACAAATGTATGTATTTTTCAATTCAGTCCTAATATGAAATGGGATATACAGTACACATACATGCAGTCTCCTTTTGTCTTGATTACAGGACATCCCGAATGTTCTCAACATTATGGCTGAGAGAGAAAATAACTTAATTTTCAGGCATATCAAATTTTGAAAGACTCTCGCTCTTCTGCATGTTAACTTGAAAATAAGCTTTATTAAGTTTAACAGTAATGTGCAAGGGATATAATAAATGTGTAAAGGACTGGAACCTTACCACTGAATTCCATTAATTCTGTCTACAAAGGATATGACTTTCAGTAATTCTCTTGCCCCCACAACTATTCCAGGTGTTCCATCAAGCCCCTGAAATCTGGAGAAGGGGTGGGAGAAATTACAGAAAATCATGCCATTATCAATCTCATTGATAGCTGCTTTCCATCAGCAGAGAGAATTATTGGTGGGAGGAATCGTATGTTTTCTTAATTACTTGGCTTGATTGACTGAAAAAAAATCATTTTATTTGCATTTGCATTTTCTAAAATAATTTCTCAGAATTGGTGTGCGTGCATGCGTGCGTGCGTGTGTGTGTGTATGACAGAGAGAGAGAGAGAGAGATTTTCTAGCTACAAAAGAACACTGTATGATCAAAATTGTATTAACTAGCACCGTATTAAACAGCTGCTTCAAAAATATCCATCAGTGATCACTTAGATGCTTTTTAGAACTATCTGAGATCAAAAGTTTGAAAGCCTAACATATCATGTATTAAAAAACTTTTTCTGTTTACCATATGTTCCCCTTTTAGCAGGCCTGATCTAAACTGATATACATTCCAAAGAAGTAAGCATTTTCCCAAGAAACTATCTTTGAAATAAGGGTACAAGTGACCCTAAATTTCACTGACAGTTTATTCATTATAAGCAATTCTATACTCTGTCAAACCTTATCTGAATAGATAGGCTGGGAAGATTATTGTATAAAGACAGTTGAATTTGTCTGCTGTAACCATACAGAAAGTTTAAAATGCTCTGAGAGCATTCCCTGACAGATCTAAGTTAACCTGAGATTTTCAGGATTCCTTGACAGTTAATGCCATCATCATGGAGATGTGACAGCCACATTCCTTTTGGATTAATTTGCCAATGGTGGAAGATTTAGAACCAAAACTGAGTTGGCTGCCCCTGCTCTAAACCATTGGGATTGCCTACTGGCATCTAATTCTTCTCTAGATTTCCTTGTGTTTGATTTAAACTTGAGCCTATTTATTTGCCTTAAACATCACACTTATCTTACATGGGTTATATCAAGATTACCGTTGATTTTGCTGTTATCACCGAAGATAAATTCCTTGCGTATGTTTTATACTTGGCCATTAAAGTATTGGTATTGGTATTGGTATTGGTATTGGTATTGGTATTGGTATTGGTATTGGTATTGGTATT